TAATAATAATAATAATAATAATAATAATATTTAAAAAACAAATCCTTAGTCCAAGATGCTACAGTATGAAAAGAATCGCTATAGGAGATGATTTTGGTAAAGTAGTACTCCTTTATCAAGCACTTGTTCAAGATAATTGACTTCATGACAAAGTCTGGATAAGTGGATAAGCTGGCCTTTCCTCCTCTTAGGCTAAAGGTAGGCCAACCCTCCTAAAGCCACTGTCATTTCCTAGTGTAAGAATCTTGTATTAAGAACTGAAAGTTTTGTTGTGTATATGTTCAGAGCTATTATGCTTAAAGTCTCTGTGAATCTTAGATGACTCAATGGCACATAGCAACACCAATGTTATAACAATGTCACTTGTCACTTCCACTATGATAAGCATTGCTGTTATTGGTAGGTTCTGTTGAGCTGAATAAAACTTAGTGACCTTATGAGCAGTAGATATGAACCTTGACCTATCCTGTATTATTTCACTAGCTTTGATATTCTCAATGTCGTTTTGCAGTCATTCTGTGAGTTTGTCTGTTTGGGGCATTCCTTTCTTACTCTGACCTTCACTTTTCCTAGCATGATACTTTTTCCCAGGGCCCCTCCTGACAACATGTACAAAGTATGTGAGATGAAGTTTCCCCATTCTTGGCCCTAAGAAGTACCCAGTTTGTACTTTTTCTAAGACAGAGTGTTTGTTCTTTCAACTTTATGGAATATTCAGGACACTTCTCCAATATGATAATTCAAAGGCATCAATTCTTCTGTCATCTTTATTTATTGTCCAACTTTTAGATGCATAGGAAGTAACTGAAAACATCCTTGCTTGAATCAAACAATCTTAGTCTTTAAATCAAACTTAAACTTATTCTTTACACTGTTGTGATCTTGTCTTTTGGCCAAGCATTGAGGATTTTTCTCTTCTTGATATTGAGATGTAACTTATGTTGAAGGTTTTAGTTGTTTTTTTTTTATCTTCTGCAGACAATGGTACTCTTCACTTAACTGCAAGTAAGATTGTATCATCAACATAACACATGTTGTTGATGAGACTTTCTCTGATCCTCATGTTGCATTCTTATTCATGTCCAGTTATTGAATTATTTCCTCAACATAGATTGAATGAATATGGAGAAAGGGTACAATCTTGGTGCACAGCTTTCTTGTTGTTTTGACTATAAGCAGGTCACTTATGGTGAACAGGTTTCAGTAGAGCATCCAGAATAAGATACAGGATTGACCATTCACTTCTGAAATAACAAAGTATTTAAAAATTGATGAATAACAGAGGTTTATTGTTAGATATAGTAGCAGAGTAGAGATCTTAGGTTGGAAGACATTCAGGAAATAAGGAGAAATAGCTACAAGTACTTACTAATAATTAGATATAAGGATCCGGGCGGGGGGGTGGTGGAAGAGGCTGGAAGGAGAGGGATGTGGATGTACAGGGGGAAGAGGGGATTAATCATTGGGTTGTATAATTTGATGGCGGGGATGAGGGAAATAGAAAGAAATTGTTCAAATTTGTATTAGAATTTTGAAAATAAACTAATGAAAAGGAAAAAATACAATTTATGAAATATTAAATTAGGAATAGTAAAAGTTATAAAAAATCAAATGTACACATAAAGATCACTATTCTATGCATTAGTCAACTGAGAGGACTTGGTATTGGCCATTGGAAAGAAGACAATCACATCATCTACAATGATAAATTGAAGAGAAATGGTGTTCCAATCGTAATTAAAAAAAAAGAACAAAACTAAATCTAACAATCTATCCTAAAGCACATGTTGCATGTGATAGGATACTATTTGAATAGATTTAAGGAAAACTTGTTACCACAAGTATTATCGAAATATATGCACTAATCATTAAAACCAAAAATTGGAGGACTCCCCCAGCTTTTGCAATATGAAATTAAGCAACATGCAACCAACATTCATTAATAATAATTGGTGATTACAATGGAAAATATCAAAACAAAATGAAGAACTGTTATAAAATATAGCTATGGTGACAGAAACAAGGCTGACTTAATGATGGTATATTTTTTATTTCTTGTATCACAGAAAGCTCTCTAAGTTACCTTGGAAATCTTTATGATTCAGGCCACCCCTACAGAAAAAGTATCTGGATTATCATTTAGCTACCCCAAATAGTAATTGAACTTCAAGTATGTGCTAGGCACTATGCTAAGTATTACGATAAAGCAGTGTGCAGGCATGGATAAGGTCTTGGACTTTTCTTGTGCTGGAAAGTCTTTTTTGTTTCTCACAATATTTATTCTAGCCAAACTTCAAGGCCAAGCTAAAATCCCCACCTCCTATATGACACTTTTATTCTCTACTGCTTCCTATAGCACTTTAACTACCACATATTTGGTATTTAATTACATCCTGTCTGCCCTTCCTCTATTTTTCCTACTTCATCTAGCACAAGCCTGGCTATGTAAATTGCTCAATAACTATAGCTGATTGATTGTTTTCTTCTCTACATCATACTATTATTATAGACAAATGGCACAATAAAAAAGGTGCTTTGGGCACAAACAGATGAAAAAATGAATTTGAAGATTTGACATTTGTTGAGAATATTCTCATCTGTAACAGGGAAGAAAAAAAATAGCTTCCCTGTCAAAGCAAAATAATGAAAGCTCTGTAAGCTGCTACAATTTTGTAAGAAAGATAATAAGCCTCCCTAATTTAGTTTCAAAATTCCGTGTTTGTACTTGAACTGTGTTTAGTTTAGTTTCAGCCTCTGTATTTGAAAATGGACAGCATCTCTTAGTCTTACTCTTTGCTTTTGACTCTTTTACTAAATGACTGCCGAATGCAAATATGTTTTGTGTGCCCAAAGCAATAACAAGATGTTTTTAAAAAGGATACCCTTGCCAAAAGAATTCTGCTTACCTGTCTATCACACAAATTAATTCCTTTGAAAGTAGCTATTTTCTCATTTGCTTTAATGGTACTCAGAGCAGGTAGCTGTGATTTTGTGCTAGATCTTATACTCATCATCCTTGTGAACATTTTATTTTACTACGGACCATTAAAGAGTGTGGTTGATAATGTTCCATCATTATACAATTGTACAGGGAAAGAATTTCTCTTTTAGACAAATGGAGTTAAAAGACTATTATTTTTTTCCTCCATTTTCTTCCCCTCCTAATGGATCATGTAATGGATCATAAGGGTACAACATCTCAAAAATCTCCAAGAAACAGCTTTAATAGCTAAGTATATTCTTACCTAATTTATAAGCAAAATTTGTAACGTATAAGAGCATACAATGATCTCCTATGCTCTTTCCTAGGGTCCAGTTCTACCAGAATATTTGTTAGGACATGCCTGACACTAATTTTCAGGTCATGGTAAAAATATTGCAAGGGGCCAAACAGAACAAGAGAGTTTGGGACAGAGCCTTAAGCAGGAGAACAATTTTCGCAGCTTTCTGCATGAGAGTGGGTTAGCATGAGACCCACCCCATACTAAAACTGCTTAAGTTGGCACCCCTCATCTTGTGCACTTCAGAGACAAATGAAGACACTAAGCTTTAGGAGAGAAGGCACCATCAGGTGAGACACTCTTCCCAGTGCCAGCACTTCAAGGTGCTTGTGGGGAGAGAGGAGACTTTGTGGATGTGTTCTGAGTACTACACTCAAATAAAACTCAATTTGCTGGGTGCGGGCGGCAGGGGCCGGAATCCAAGCCCACGCAGCTAGAAGAAGAGACCACGGCCAAACAGCGAGCGCACCTTCATCGCTATCAAGCCTGATGGAGTCCAGCGGGGCCTCGTGGGAGATATCATCAAGCGTTTTGAGCAGAAGGGATTCCGCCCCGTCGCTTTGAAATTCATACAAGCATCTGAAGACCTTCTCAAGGAGCACTACATCGCCCTGAAGGACCGCCCGTTCTATACTGGCTTGGTGAAGTACATGCACAGGGCCAGTCGTTGCCATGGTCTGGGAAGGGCTGAATGTGGTCAAACCGGCCGCGTGATGCTCGGGGACACCAACCCTGCCGACTCCAAGCCTGGGACTATTTGAGGGGAATTTTGCATTCAAGTTGGCAGAAACATCATTCATGGCAGCGATTCTGTGTAAAGTGTGGAGAAGGAGATTGGCTTGTGGTTTCGCCCCGAGGAACTGGTGAGTTACAAGAGCTGTGCTCAGGACTGGATCTATGAGTGATGCTGCTGGATCTGTGAGCTGACCACAGAACTGTTCCCATTCCACTGCCCCCCAAGCCACAGGCAGGGGACAGGGCCGTAGCAAACCCAGTTATTTCTGGGGACTTCCTTGTAATCTGGAGATTAACTCGTGAAGTTGTGAACATTCCTTGTACAGTGTTAATGTGCTGCCATCACATTAAAATATTTTATCCCAACAACAACAAAAACAAACAAAAAAAAAACCAAACTCAATTTGCTATCTTTTCAAGGGCACATAGTATATCTTCCAGAAATGATCACATATTAGAGCACAAAGAAAGACTCAATAAATTTAAAAAAATCATTGAAATAATACAAAATATCTTTTCAGACTGCAATGCTAAGAAACTTGTTATTAACCACAAGAGGATAAAGCTTATGAAAACACCCAATTTGGAAGCTAGATAATACCCTGCTAGAACACTATTAGGTTATTGAAATTAAAAAGTTCATCAAAACAAATTATAATAAAATTAGAATAAAAATATACCAAAACCTCTGGGAAGTAAATAAAGCAGTCCTCAGGGGGCAGTCGTGATAGGCAAATACATATAAAAAGAAGAAAGAAACAAAATTAATTATCTACATCAACACTTTATCAAATAAATAATAAAAATAATCTAACCCCACAACCTCTAGAAGAAAGGAAATGATAAGAACAAGAGCTTAAATCAATGAAATAGAAACTGAAAAATAACTGGCAGTCAACAATAGTAAGTGCTGTTTTTTTTAAAGGGTCAAGAAAATTTACAAAACCTTGGCAAACACAAATAACTAGAATGACAAATGATAGAGAAGACATGAAAAGAGAACCATAGGAAATTTAATCTAGAATATCAGAATATTAAGAAAAACAAAACTTTGATAAATTTGAAAACCTAAAGGAAATGGGGAATTCCTTGAAACTCATGCCATACCAAGACTGACATAGACAGATGTAGAACACTCGAACAGATCCATCACAAAATAAGAAATTAAAAAGGTCCTAAAAAGACTCTCCCCCCAAAAAAGTCCTTAACCAGATAGCTTCATGGCTGAGTTAAACCAAACATTCAGAGATTTATCACCAATTCCACTTTACTTATTTTCAAAAATAGAAAATAAAGAACACTCAGAGACATTCAATGAAACAAGTCTGATCCTAATACCAAAAATAAGGAAATAATATTACCAAAAAAGTAAACTACACTCCAATATCTTTTATGAACACACACACAAATACTTAATAAAACCCTAGCCAATAGAATCCAAAAGTACATCATAAAAAGAAATCATCATGACCAAGTGTGACTCATAACAGGTCTGCAAGGGTGGTTCAATCAATGTAATTCACCACAGTAACAGAGCAAATAACAAGGACTATATGATCCTAGCAATTGATGCAGAAAAGGCTTTTGACAAAATTCAACACTCCTTTCTGCTTAAGACGCTCAGCAATATAGAAATAGAAGGGAAATTCCTCAACATAGTGAAAAGGATATATGCAAAACCAAGAGCCAACATCATTCTCAATGGAGAAAGACTAAAAGCATTTTCTTTGCCAAGAGGGACAAGGATGCCCACTGTCACCACTTCTACTCACTATTGTATTGGAATACCTGCTACAGCAATATGATAAGTTGTTGTTGCTGTACTGTTGTTAGGTGCCATTGAGTTGAGTACAAATCATAGTGATCTCATGAACAAAAGATCTGAACCCTGACTTATCTTGTACTATGTTCACACTTCCTAACACACTAGAGCCCACAGTGGCATTCACCATGTCAATCCATCTGGTTAAAGGTCTTCTTCTTTTTCACCAACTTTCCACCCTTCTAAGCATCAATGCTTCTCTAAGGAATATCCCCTTCTAGTAACATGCTCAAAGTATGTAAGGTGAAGCCTCATCATTCTTTCCTCCAAAGAACACTCCAGCTGCACCCTCTCCAAGACATATGTGTTTGTTCTTTTGGCTGTCCATGAGATGTTCAGTACTCATCTCTAACACCATAGAACAAAGGCATCAATTATTCTTCTGTCATCCTTATTTATTTGTCAGCCTTCAGATGCATAGCAAATGATCAGAAAAACAATGGCTTGTATCAGACTCACTTTAGTTTTCAAACTGACATCATTACTCAATAATTTGGACAGGTTCCTAACTAGAGATTTTCCCAGTGCAATGTGTCTCTTTTATTTCTTGACTACAGGTCTCATGGGTGTTGATTGTGGATGGAAATATGATGAAGTTGTTGACAGCTTCAATCTCTTCTCCATGCATCCTAATGTTGCCTATCAGTGGTAAGAATCTTTGTTTTCTTAACACTGAGATGCAATCCATACTGAAGCCTGCATTCCTTGATCTCCTGCAATAAGTGGTTCAAGTACTCCTCACTTTCAGCACAAAAGGCTATGTTCACAGAAACCTCCAAGGAGTCAATAAAAAAGCAAAACAAAGCAAACAATGGATCAATTTAGTAAAGTGGAAGGATACAAGATCAATAGTCAAAAGTCAGTGGTATTCCTCTACAGTACCAAAGAAAACTTAAGAGAAAGAAACTAACAAACATAAAAACACAACAGTATTTACAACAACCAACCACAAATTGAAATACTTGAAAGTGAACCTAACTAGAGATGAAAAATATCTATACAAAGAAAGCAACAGAACATTTCTGTGAGAAACAATAGAAGACTTAAATAAATGGAAAAATGTTCCCTGTCCATGGTTAGGAAGTCTCAATGTAGGGAAACTGACAACATATTCAACACAATCTCAATATAGATATGATTCCTTTTTCAAGGAGATAGAAAAGCAAATTGTCAAGGGTATTTGGAAAGGAAAAAGAATCTGAATAAGCAAACCACATCTGAAAAAAAATGTGGAAGACTTAGCACTCTCTTACCTCATAACCTACTATGCAGCAGTAGTAACTAAAACAGCATGGTACTGTTACACTGATAAGCACATAGACCAATGGAAAAGAATTGAGAACCCAGGAATAGATATATCTATCTAAGGTCAACTGATATTCAACAAGGAATAAAATCTATTAAACGGGGAAATGACAACCTATTCAACAAATGATGCTGGCAAAACTGGACTGCTACATGCAGAAAGCAGAAACTGGATCCACATTGCTCACCATACACAAAAATCAACTCAATGTGGATCAGAGACATGGAAGTAAAGTCTAAAACCACAAAGATCATAAAAGACAACTTCGGCTCAATCTTAGAGGACTAGTCTATGGTATAAAGAGGCTGTCAAATACAGCCAGAAACGCACATTCTGGAGAGGATAAAAGTAATGAATGGGAATTTCTAAAGATAAAATATCTGTACTCATAAAAATTTTTTCCAACAGGGTGTAAAGAATATCCACCAACTGGGAAAAAGCATTTAACAATTCCATCTCACAGAAAGATCTCCTAACAAAAGTTTACAGAACAGTACTGAGCCTCCATAAAAAACAAAAACAAAAAACACCACACACACACACACACACACACACACACACACACGAAATAACCAACCCCAAAACAACACCCTGATAACACAATTAACAAAATGGGTAAAGGATATGAAGAGATGTTTCACGGAAGAAGATATTTGGATGGCCAAGAAACACATGAAGAAAGGCTCCAAATCACTGGCAATAAGAGAGATGCAAATCAAAACCACAATGAGATACATTCTCACCACTGTAGCAGTGCTAAAATCTACTAGGTCAGCAAGTAATAAATGTTGGAGAGGATATGGAGAGGTGGGAACTCTCATACACTGTTGATCAGATTGCAAAATTGTACAGCCAGTCTGGAAGACGGTTTGACCTTTTCTCAAAAAAGTTGAACACAGAAACCCTGTACAACCCAACTATTCTACTAGTACCCTCAGGAATTTAGAACTGAGACATGAACAGAGATTTGTACACCAGTGTTCATAACAGTGTTATTTACCATCACAAGAACTTGAAAACAACCCAAATGTCCAACCACAACTGAATGGATCGAGAAATTGTACATTCACACTATGGAAACTAGGCAGCACTCAAGAGCAACAATTTAAAAAAAAAATACTACATATCTTGGGAGAAACTGGAGAGCATTATGCTGAGTGAATTGACTCAGTTTCATAAGGATAAATACTGCATAAGACCATTATTGTAAAAATAGAAGGATAACTAGTAAAACAATGTATCGAGACCCATGGGGGGAAGTGATGAAAGTAGAAGGATGAGATGGATAAGGGTGAAATCACAGGGTTGTACAATTTGGTGGATGGAGGGAGGGAGTAAAGGAAATGAGAAAGATCAATTAGGGACCAGAAAAGACAGGGTAATGATGGGCATATTCCAATGGTGATTAATTTTATAAAATATAATGCATGGAATAACTCTATGAAACACGATGTGAGTGAAGAACAGTGTGTAACTCAGTGTATATGAATTTTGTAAGCAAACCATTTATAAAATAAAAAAACCCTGCAGCTTTCTGATTAGATTCAATAGTTAAATCCATAGAGATAATTTGTGTGACCCAAATGAAAGAGTAAAACCACACCTTTGAAGACAATTGTATTTCATAATGATCTTACAGAATAAATCTTATAGAGCATTGAGTTTACAAGGCTGTAATATTTACTGACACAGAATAACCCAACTTTCTCTTGAGGCTGATGGCTTTTTAGTAACCAGTCAGTGCTAAATCTATGATGCCACAAGGCACTGTAGATTTATTTTAACCAGCTTGATTCAATTACTTCCATTGTAAAAGTTATCCATTTGGATATAAGTTAAGTGGTACTAAAGCAGTGAGCTCTGGAGATCCAGTGGGTGAGGAGTTATGTTGCCACCCCACTGGTATGTGAGTGAATCTTCCAGCTGCTCCTCTGGAAAAAGATTGACAATCTTTTACCATAAAATTTACAACCTTTGAAAACCTGCTGGAGGGTCAGCTATAGTTAGGTTCTGACTTGTCAGCAATGGGTGCTGGGAGTGGG